AATAATTTCAAGACATACGCCTCAAAGTATCTTAATCATTTTTCTTATTTATGTTATTACTGTTGATGTGAAATTGTTTTAATTTGCATATATGAACTAACCATGTAATGCTCACAAATTTGATGAATTGTTGTCATATGGGATGAGAGTTACAATTATCGAAAAGAATGTATAACTTTAGACTTCAGATACGTTTGAAAAACATGGTTACATTATATGGGATATAGTGGGATATTGCCTAAATTTCCGTCGTTGACTAAACATTGGTAATAAATATACCAAAAAATAATATACAAAATTATTCCAATGTAACACACATTTGTCATCAAATAGAAAGAAAAACTAACTTTTAAATTAATGAATTTTCAGAACTAATAACTTAAGTGATTTCATCTAATAAAAAATTTCTCTCCAAAATGTATACATTTTTAATCATTTCAACAAATTTTTTACAGCAATAACATTTTAAGCACTATTTGCTTTTTAATTTGTTTCATTTTATATGGGATAGAAAAGCCTTTCAATGCTATCAACAGCATCCCACAGCGTCATTCTTTAAACCCTATCTATACACACACTTATCTGCCAACAAAGTATCTCTAACGCTCAACAAACAACGTGTGGCACAATAGCAACAACAATAAGAAAAAAATACTCAAAAACATGGAATCATGTTGTAAAGCACAAAAGTTCATAAATGTTCATGTATTTTTATCTTTTAAATTGTAGAATTTACAAAATATATAAAGTAAAATGCGATTTAACCTCGACATAGAACAGAAATTCATACACAGACAAAAATAAAAACAGCTAAATAAAAAAATTTATTCGTATGTAGCACTATTTAGATACTCGTGGATACATCTTCATACAAACGCAGTTACAAACAGCTACAAACAACCAGACAGTTACAATACTCGTACAGTCAAAATAAATTACTTCAGTTGCTGCAACTGCAACTTTAAATGCAACTCTTGTATTAGATACTTTGTAGAGCAATACTCGTAATACTCAGAACTCAAGCAATAAAAAGTATCTATTTGCAGTAGATACTTCAGCTGAAATACACCCACTTATGTGCGCCATGAATTGCTTTGTAGCTCATATGCATTCGCTGAGTAAATTTATTTGCAAATTTAGTTGCACTTGCAAATGTGTCACATACCAAAAATTCTAAATCCTTTGTATAAAATAACAAATTCCTTTGTAACACAAACACAATTTGTTTTTGTTTTTGTTTTTGTTTAAACAAAAAGGGCACTGAACTTTTGAAATGACGATAGTACTATCCTGACGGAAGTAAAACTTAAATAAAAGTACAAATAGAATACTAGTATGCGATATATTTTATAAATATTTAGTACTGCAATGTCAAAGGTTAAGGTTTTTGTTACTTTGAGTTTTCAAGACAATGAGTGAATTTTAATAGTAGATTCCTTTTTATACATGTATGTTATTGTTCTCAAATTGCGTCTATTTATGATATACACAACAATTAATGTCATTTAGGTCATAAATAATTTTTAAAAAATATATAGTACCGCACAAACTCCATCCCCATTTCAATTACTTAACCTTATACCATAAATTCAATATTTTAAAATATTGTTGGGTAAATTTCGATTGTTAGTTGTCGTTCGAAATCACTGCATCCAAATAAACAATTGAATAGATGTTTTTGTTTTGTGTACAACTTTTTTATTACCCTGATTTACAACAATAGCCAATATAAGATTTTCTCTAATACTAATACTATAATACAATTTTATTTTCAATATCGGTTTGAGGAAATTATTTCTGGGTTTACTTAGATTCTAATTCGAAACATTCATCTTCTTCTAGACTTCTTCGTCGCGAACAAATGTCATCATGTCACCGTGAACTATTTTCATCTTGAATCTTTGATGCCCTGACCACTGAATTCGATTTATCACGTCATTTATTCAGGTTATTACCCTATATGTTCGTTCCCAATTTGATTGCAACTACGGAGACATCCCATCTGTAATTTATATCCGGCTTTCTTCTTGTTACCGGTAATTTGGAGCCCACTTCTGATGAACCAATGAATCTCATTCAACTGGTCTCGTTTGCCTCTATAAAGATGCCTTTCCACACGGTGGTATTACCCCAAATTTAAAATCGCCTGGTAACCTCTGAGTCGGGGTTGAAAACTGCTCTAGCTGGTGTAGTTGATGTGAACCAGTACTGTGCAGACCGATACACGAGTATTAATGTATGTGTGTGTGTCAATCCTATATCTATATAAAGTTATTATATCTATTTATGGAACATGATTTAATGTATCCTGTAATTTACTAATAATTAATATTTTTGGTTTAAATGCGATTGGAAAGTAAAAAGATTTAATTGAAAAATAATTTAGAAAGTTAAACCTATTACTCTGTGGAGTTGCCGTTCCATACTTACCCTTTACGCCAATACTGTCTATACTTACCTGTCCAAATAAGCTATAACTTAGGGCAACTGTCTGCTGAGGATGAGGATATACTTAGTAACTGACATAACATAAGAATTGAAATTTCCATCGTCTTCGATTCTATATTGAATTGTGTGAAGACTTATTTGTAAAAGGAGAAAATATCTATTATTTTTATATTGAATGATGTTATAACGTAAATGCATTTTTTTAATAAAACGTTTTATAAAAGGTTTCTTACCAAATGTTTTGTCGTCGTTATTATTTTAAGTTTATTGTGTTTATATTTTTCATTTTGACTCAACCTCTTGTATGTATTTTTTTTATACATATATTTTAATTGAGTTGAATATAGTATAGTATGCATGAGTAAAGCGCAAAGGTTTACTTTGTAATTGATATGAATTTATTTCTGTACATAAAATGCTTTATTTTTAATGTATGACTTAATGACTCTAATTATTAATAATTCGAATTACCGAATTACCATTATACTATGGCATTATCATTTTAAGTCAATTGAACCTGAAATTTTACAAAAAGAAACAGTTTTAGATATGCGTATAAAAGCTTTTTCGTTTGTAATTAAACTTTTTTTGTAAACTTTTTATAAAGAGGTTTTTTCGCACAATAGTGAACTACAACAACAAAAATTTTATTTTTTATATTATTTTAATTAATCGAATTTTTGGCTGACCATACAGCTGTTTCGAGTATTGCCAAATACCCATCATTAGTGGTCTTGGAAATAATTATTATATTTAATTATTCGTAAATAATTATTTTTGAGACTGTAAGTACCAGGAATCAAACTCGGGTCCTGCCAAATATGAAGCTCAGAATCAGAGCACCTTAACCAACTGATCCAAAGCCGTACTTGAGTTTTTATGTTCGCTATTTTTCTGGAGTTTTGTTACTTTTGCTATGAAAGTTTTATTAACAAATTTACTTGCTGTGTTTATATTAGAACGAAATCATAAACCAGCTGTAGAATAATTGAATTGATTAATTAATTATATATTTTTTTTATTTTTAATTGTTAAATTTTAGTACTATTCTGTAAACGTTTTATAAAATTATTCTTAACTTAGAACTTTATAAATACTTAGTCGAATATATTTATAAAAAAATGTGTATATTTGTGGTGAAATTTTTGTCCCAAAAAAACTTTTATATATCTAGAAATCATTTATTAATCTAATATTAATTAATTGATTTGTTAGATAATTATTTGTCTGAAAAGTATGCAAACCTCTGCTGCGTTATCTTATCTTATTTTTGTTATTACTAAATAAAAATAGTCTTACGAATTATTTGCAAATATTATTAATTTTAAATTAACAAATAACTTTTGAACTTTTTTCAATTCAACATTTAACAATTTATCACAATAAAAAATTTAGATATAATGAAATATTGAATCCACAAATTAAAAAGTTTCACAATTAATTTGTTAAAATTTGGCAGCTCATTAATCAAAATTTTTGAGAAAATCGCCATAGAAAAGGGATTTACAAACTTTAGAACTTCCTAATGAAGCTATTCGAAATACGGAGCAATTGCTTAACTTAATTTGAAGCAGCAAATGTGCACTGCAGTGAGGTTTTAAATGAAACGTAATGAAAATATTTTTAATTATAAATGAAAAATAATTAAAAATTGTATTTTGAAATTATATAGCATAAGGCTTAATTTAATTTTCAACTGCTCATATAAAAAAAAAATACTATTTAATAAATAATACTGTGAAAATTTTAATCAAATGATAAAAATAAAAAATTATGCAAATACAGCAAAAATAAAAGATTTGAATCCTGCATAAAAAAGGATACGAAATTAACTGAAAATCACAAACAACAGCAAAATTGAAAATAGGCAAACACGTTAGGGATATAGAGGAGATAGAGGCAAAAGGAGATTTTTGCAGTATGCATATGTACCCTTGGACTTTATCATTTATCAATTACGCCTTTTATGTCAAAAAGGATGCTGTAACCGAATAAGCATGACATGAATGAGCTTCCGAACGTAAAACTTTTCGTTCCATTCAAAGTTTTTTGTATAGAAAGTCGTCGAATTATTGTGCTGACTGCAACCTTGATAAGTTGGAATACTGAGGATGAGATATGAGCGAACGTATGAATGTTAATTTGGGAAGAATTTTTGGTTTGTCACAAAATAAAGCATTCATTAATGCAAATAAATCTTAAAAAAGATAAAAATTACTACTTACAGCTTTTGCACATTTATATGACAACTACTATATTTAAATTTTGTATGCTTTACTAGCAGCTACTTCAGATATATGTCGCTTGAGCTTTAAGTTTGTCCTCATTAATGCAGATGTGAAAGTTCCTTACTACACCACTGCCAACCAATAAACGCAAGGACATGTTCCTACGTGCAACGCGTATATGCATTTGTTGCACGCATTGTGCCATCAAATGTTGCAAAC